CATTCAACAATAGTTTACCTGAAAACTATTTTACTAATATTTGTTTAAAGTTTTACAGAATACACTTACACATGATGCTATTGTATGTTTTTATTCATACATGATATAGGTACTTACAACAGAACTTGTGAATTTTTGTGTTTATTTATACATTTATTGTATGGCAACAACGTAAACTTAAAGATAGGAGCGAGTGTATGCAATTCCAAGATAGAGTTTAGTATTCACCGATCCTGCGATAGTTTAAGAGTATATTTCGTACCTAGGGCCGAAAATGACTTTTTTTCAGCTCGGGATCATTTTTAAGTTCGAGACGAAGATGAAATCGGTCCGTGGCACGATTGCTGTTTTTCACCAAACTATACAAAACTGAGAAAATATATCAATAATATAGGCAAGCATGTTTCTTTACAACCTTTTTATCAGCTCGTGAACATCACAGAGAAAATATCCGCATATCGGTGGAAATGTATTTTCCTGTCGATCTACAGAATGCCTTTATAAATTAAAATAGGCTAAAAAGACATAAAAAAGAATTACAAATGTTTAAAACTAACATGGGTTTAACGGGTTGCTATGCTGGTGACGAAATAACAACTAATTATGAAAATAAAATCAAAACAAATGGAACATATTCCAATCACATTTATTATTTACAGTGTATGTTAAATGGAGAAGTATGTGTAGTACATTGCATAGTTTTTGTCGGGTTTTCAACCGCTGGACCTCAACTTCATTGTTCATTGATCACTGGGAAATCCATTGTAAACTATAGGATATGCACACTAATCAATGCAAATACTTTAAGGTTATGTGAAAAAATATTTAAAGGAATCAGCAAAAATAGTAATACATAATTGCTGGGCAGCGGTCTATTGCAATTCATTAGGGATATACTGCTTGTATATTTAATGATATATATAAATGTTTTAATTAAATAAGCGATTTTCGGTACTAGGGCTGGAAAATTTTAATCACAACTATAGCTGCCATTTCGACCCTGGACAGCAATGCGTAGCTTTCAGCCTCCAATTAACGTCTGTAAAACTACTAAAACATCGTATTGCGGTGAAAAATATTTGCCAATCATACTCAATCGACTCGGAACACTGCAGTTCCTGATTTAATTAAGGGTATTATTAAAAAGTACTCGTGCAGTAATCAATTAAACAGGGTAACGAATTGAAGGATAGATACAACTAGACTATAAGGACGCAAAATACGCGTAGGTACAACTAGACGTAGAGACTACTAGACGGAGGGACCACTAGTCGTAGAGACTACTAGTCGTAGGGACTACTAGTCGTAGGGACAACTGGTCGCATCCGTACAAGCTAGGTGATACTACTTGTCGGTGGGATACACGTCTAGTTGTACCTACGTCTACTTGTACCTACGTCTAGTTGTACCTCCTAAAAATCTGCAGGTACAACTAGTCGGGTGAGCCACCGTCTACTTGTACCTACGTCTAGTTGTACCTACGACTAGTTGTCCCTAGGCCTCGAGGTACAAGTAGACGGAGGGACAACGAGACGGAGGGACAACGAGACGCGGTCCCATAACCGGCACCTGCCGTCTGTCGTGTGCACCAAGTGTACTTTTAGTTCAGTTGTTTGTAGTTATTTGAGTATTAATTTTGGTTAGGCCTATTTGTTCGCAAAGTTTTGGTCATGTCGAAAAAAGACATTGAACTACTTGTTAATTTAGTTCAAGAGCACAACATTGAATTAAATTTTACTCAAATTCAAATTGAATGAAATGAAAAAAAAATAATCCAAATTTAAATACAGTTTCAATAAATAAAAGTAGTTTCGAAGTATCATTGCAATTGCTCTGTTACGTTCCATTTCTATCCCTACGACACACAAGTTTCAGAAGCTGGAGTACAACTGCCAGAGTGCCGGTGTCGGCGTAACGTGAAAGGTGCACCCATGCCAGTGCCGGTTAGAAGTCGGTTTAACGGCATGCCGGATAGATGTGAAACAAGCCCTTCATGTTTAGACTTGAATGTTTCATGTTTCATGTCATCACAGGAGTGACAAACACACCAACACACACAGACACTGGTCACATTCACTGGTATAAACTCTGGTTACAAACATTGATTGTGTATTAAATTTGTCATAAAATTTTATTTTTATTTTTTTAACACATAATTTAATGTTGAAGTTTGATTCATAAAAATTAATAATGCATATTTTTTTATTTGTTATTAAGAGTACTTGGTAAACTTATAAATTTTGCATAAAATGTAATTGTAATTGCTTGTAAAGCAATAATTAGCCTTTATTTAGGTAAAAGTAATGTAGGATATAGGACGATTTAGTTAGGGCCTTTTATTAGTAAAAATGTAATTCATACAAAAATAACAACTTAAGGACCCAATATTTTGTTTCATATTTTTAGATTTCTAGTCATTTGTACAAACATATATATTAAATTGATGAACCTTTTGTATTATTTAAGTTCATCATACATATTCTGCATCAAATGAAATTTTTAGCTAAATCAAATTTAATTTTTGACTTTCACGTGTGATATCAATGTTAATACTCAAATCCCCACTCATGTTATTATACCATTTGAAAGATAATTTTATCCTCTTTCCAGTGATATATGGTTTTATAGGTTTATCTGGAGAGAGATTTTTGTTATCAAACCTTTTGTAACTGGATGTTCCGATTTCGGAAAAATCGAATTATTTGTGTTTAGGAATTTCTTTTGGGTGGTAATAGGTAATAGTTATCATTTCACTTGTGTAATATGATTCTGCATTAAGTTTTGGATATATAAGTAAAATTTGAAGCCCATATCTTCAAAATTGTCCTTTTTACATAGAAAGACGAGAATATATGCATTTCAGTTTAGCGCAAAAATAAGCCTCGGAAACTGAATTTGTGTGAAACTTAAAATGGCCATATCTCTGAAGCCCTTGGTCAGAATGAGATAAAATTTTGGATTTCATCTTATCTATATGTATTTATTATCTATGCAAAATTGTATTGAAATCAGAAAACCTTGGGTGACAAGTCTACTTTTGGCTGGATGATTTGGCGTGGAATGACCCAAAAGTGACAAGTGATGACATTTACAAGTGTGTTAAGGGATTACTTCAGGAGTTTTTTATTTAGAAATCTTTAAGTGTGAGATGGCAATACAAAAACTTTATATTACTGTTCAAAGTCGTTGTCAATTATAGATATATTTTACCAGATGTATTAGTGACTTAATTTTATAATAATTATTTTTTTCCGATGATCACATTTTTGTTGTGCTTTTTTTATCGAACTTTGTTGATTACTGTACTAAGTTCAATTTAACACCTTAGACCAGAAGGTTTACTTTAAGTAATTAAACTAATAGCCATTACAGCTACCATGGATTACTTAATGCAGGGTGTTTATACCACTTGCCACCACAATATACAGGGTTGGGCAAATGTGTGGATACCCCTAGTTAACTTTTTAACGCGTTGCAATAGGAAAACCTAACTCGACACATATTTACAACATAAGAAATTGCACTTTTTCATCAAAGTTACAACTTTGCCCCAGCCCCAAAAATGGGGTATTTTGGGGGCAGCCCCAAATTTTCAAATGTAAACACCTATCATGTGACCCCTCATTTTAAAGGGTTTATTAAGAGAAATTGAATGGCGCAAACCAGAGGTCAATATCGCACGCCTAATCAAAATGGCAGCCATTTTAATTTAACATGAGCAATCATGATAAAGTCTGGACACCCCCAGTTAACTTTATAACGTGTGGCAGTGGGAAAACCAAACTTGGCACATGTTTACAACATAAAAAAATTCACTTTTTCATTTAAGTTAGAACTTGTACCCGGCCCCCAAAATGGGGTATTTTTGGGGCAGCCCCAAATTTTTAAAAGTAAACACCTATCATGTGACCCCTCATTTTAAATGGTTTCTCAAGACAAATTAAATGGTGCAAACTAGAGGTCAATATCGCACCCCTAATCAAAATGGCAGTCATTTTGGAATATCCCCTATTAATTTTTTAACAGTTTATAGCAGGAAAACTGAACTCAGCATACCTTTATGAAAAAAGAGAATTCACCTTTTGGTCAGTATTAAAATATTTAATTTTTAAAGTTAACTGGGGGTGTCTAGACTTTATCATGATTGCTCATCTTAAATAATTAAAATGGCTGCCATTTTGATTAGGCGTGGGATAGTGACCTCTGGTTTGCGCCATTCAATTTCCCTTGATAAACCCTTTAAAATGATGGGCCACATGATAGGTGTTTACATTTGAAAATTTGGGGCTGCCCCCAAAATACCCCATTTTGGGGGCTGGGGCAAAGTTGTAACTTTGATGAAAAAGTGCAATTTCTTATGTTGTAAATATGTGCCGAGTTTGGTTTTCCTATTGCAACGCGTTTAAAAGTTAACTAGGGGTATCCACACATTTGCCCAACCCTGTATTATTGAATTTTAAGGGATTTTCAAGGACCTTGGTTAGAGTTTTTTTAGAGATGTTTTAGTGTAAAATATAATCAAATCTACATTTGCTGCAGTGATAGATTTGTTGACGTTTGCCATATTACAGTATATTTTAATGGAAATATTTACATATTCAGGTGACAAGGATTCAAATTGTAAGGAAAAGCACTGCTGCTGCACTATCGCAAACTTATACCGCTTTCAATTTTATTGGACAGTAGATAGATTTTCATAGCCCCCAGATGACAGATGTTATTAGAAGCACATTTTATCATCACTCAAATTATAAAAAATCACACAAATCACCATTTAAATCTTTTACTTAAAAAATGTATTACTTCCTTGGTAAAAAATAGAACAATAAGTAATAAAGATCAAGGATCAATTGCAAAATTCAATGGGTTTTTTGGGATATCTGGGGTCCAACTGGGAGCCTTTCTAGGATATGGAAGATATGGACACTCTGTTTATGAAGGTATTTAAATCATGATACAATTTGAAATCCAAATAAAAAATTATTAGGGTTGACACGCACCTGAAGTGGAGCGCCAGCCAATGACTGAGTAGAATTATTGACAGAGTCGTTGTCAAGCTCCGGACTAGAGCCTGTAGGAACACTGATGACAGCTGGCTCAACCACCCTCACAGACGACAGCAGGATACGACCCTTCTCCTTGCGCCTCTGCAACAGAAGAATAAATCACATAAGCTGTTTTAGTTGATTTTCTCAACACAATGGAACCTCAAATAACCACAAGACTTTCAACTGTCAATCTCTGTTATCCTCCACCTTAAAAAATCGCGTATTTCTAGATTTACGATGAGATTTTTTGCCACACCACATTTTTTATAGTCAAATACAATATTTTGTTGAGCCATTAAACATAACAGCCAATAGGTGAAGTATAAAAATTGTACAAATAATGGAAGTCATCTACAACTGTACATAACTTCAACTGAGTAACAAGAGCTGTCCAACAAGTATAGATTTCCTGATTGAAAAGTTTTTCTGCAAAGGTCTGAAGAGAAAAGTTTTTCTGCAAAGGTCTGAAGAGATGCTAGTAGGTTGTAACTGTGAGACTTAAAGGTGCTTTAGCAAAACTTACAACAGTGCTAGAAACAAATTAGACATCTTAAATTGGAATACTTTTAGTAGTTTTGAGGGGCTAACTCAGAGTACAACCTAGTTATTATACTAACATATTGTTACATTGAATTTAATCCAAGAAAACAAACGGGGGCAGCATATCTACATGGGGTGGATCATCATTCCAGATAGTGTTGTTTTAAAAACAAGTAATCAACCTAATGTTGACCACTCTACCAGTAGAACTGAGCTATTAAGTGCCACAGACCTGCAGGACTGATTCCCCAAGGTGAAAAGACTTGCATGATTGATCTTTTAAATGACAAGTCAAATTGACAAGACTTGTAGGACTGATCTCTCAAAGAGACAAGATTTATAGGACTGATCTCTCAAAGAGACAGGACTGATCTTTCAAAGAGACGAGGCATGTAGGACTGATCTCCCCAAGTGACAAGGCTTGTAGGACTGATCCCTCAAAGAGACGAGGCTTGTAGGACTGATCTCTCAAATTGAAAAGACTTGCATGATTGATCTTTTAAATGACAAGACAAATTGAGACGACTTATAGGACTGATCTCTCAAAGGGACGAGGCTTGTAGGACTGATCCCTCAAATAGACGAGGCTTGTAGGACTGATCCCTCAAAGAGACGAGGCTTGTAGGACTGATCCCTCAAAGAGACGAGGCTTGTAGGACTGATCCCTCAAAGAGACGAGGCTTGTAGGACTGATCCCTCAAAGAGACGAGGCTTGTAGGACTGATCCCTCAAAGAGACAAGACTTTTAGGACTGATCTCTCAAAGAGACAAGACTTTTAGGACTGATCTCTCAAAGAGACAAGGCTTTTAGCACTGATCTCTCAAAGAGACAAGGCTTGAAGGACAGATCTCTCAAAGAGACAAGGCTTTTAGGACTGATCTCTCAAAGAGACAAGGCTTGAAGGACAGATCTCTCAAAGTGACGAGGCATGTAGGACTGATCTCTCAAAGAGACAAGACTTTTAGGACTGTTCTCTCAAAGAGACAAGGCTTGAAGGACAGATCTATCAAAGTGACGAGGCATGTAGGACTGATCTCCCCCAATGACAAGGCTTGTAGGACTGATCCCTCAAAGAGACAAGACTTTTAGGACTGATCTCTCAAAGAGACAAGGCTTGAAGGACAGATCTCTCAAAGTGACGAGGCATGTAGGACTGATCTCCCCCAATGACAAGGCTTGTAGGACTGATCCCTCAAAGAGACAAGACTTTTAGGACTGTTCTCTCAAAGAGACAAGGCTTGAAGGACAGATCTATCAAAGTGACGAGGCATGTAGGACTGATCTCCCCCAATGACAAGGCTTGTAGGACTGATCCCTCAAAGAGACAAGACTTTTAGGACTGATCTCTCAAAGAGACAAGGCTTGAAGGACAGATCTCTCAAAGTGACACGGCTTGAAGGACAGAGCTCTCAAAGTGATAAAGCATGTAGGACTGATTTCCTAAAGAGACAAGGCTTGTAGGATTGATCTCGAACTCATAGAGTGACAAGGCATGTATGACTGATCTTTTAAAGTGACGAGGCATGTAAGACTGATCTTTAAAATTGACGAGGCATGTAGAATCGATCTCTCAAAGTGACGAGGCATGTAGGACTGATTTCTTATTAAAGTATCAAGATTTTTAGGACTCAGTTCTCAATTTGACAATCCCTCAAAAATAATCAAAACAATACAATCTAAAATGCATGTGAAATACATCTAAAATACAAAATTAATGAATGACCAGACTTGCAGAACTGAGGTCACGAAGTGGTAAAACTTGTCGAACTGAGCTTTTAAAGTGGAATTCCACTAAATTATTCCCTTAAAATTGTCAGACTTAGTTCCTATTAAAATATCATTTATTTCAATGAGTTTTTTGCTGCTATTGAGAAGGTATTGAGATGTGTTTTTTTTTTTTTATTGAAATGTTGATAGCTTATTAGAAATAAACAAAATTGCCAAATTTGATTAAAATATATCTATAAATAACCAAACTGCAACAGTTTATTTATTCTCCATAAGAATCACAGGGAATTTTAAATTTACAATTTTTTGAATTATCTCTGTAACTGTTAGGCATACAACGCTTGAGTACCGTATACAAAATTACTTTTTTTTAAAGCTCTACAAAATGGTTTGGAAATAAATTGCAAAATTTTATGTTTTAATGGTGAACCCATAAACTCCTGTTGCCATAGTCCGATCATGTTGGTTCGCGAACTCATTTGAATAAATGTAGGTTTGCACATTGATACCAAATTTAATCAAAATTGGATAATTTTTTTGAACGGATGGTGTTTTTGGCCTCTGGGGACCTCAACACAAACAAGTACATCGGTCCCGGGTCCAGGTCTTAACATGAGACCTACGGTAATAGCTTATTCCCTATATGGGAAATTTGCTTAAAGGGCTAATAATAGTAGCCTACTATATTGACAATGGGTATAAATTTTAAATTATGTAACTCTGACATATAATTGAAAATAACAAAAATAAAAACCAAAGAAACAATACAAATTTGATTAGTTTTGGCAATTAAAATTCCTAAACTTTTTATAAAAAAATTATAAAAAACAAGTATGAATAAAAGAAAATCAAAATGGCAATATTTCATAGTTTTAGATCAAATGCAATGAAAAAAATTAATACTATAATTAATTGTTCTTAACACCATTAACATTTACAGCTAATTCCATACATTAAAAAAATTTTAACAAAGTGAAATTTTCACCAAAATTTAACATAAACACAATAAGTTTATGAATTTCTCAAAAAGCAACCAAAATAAATTGATTGTGTTAAGGGGTACAAAATAATTAACCTAAGAACCAATACCTACTCAATTGAAAGAGTATTTTCAGCAAAGGAGTATTTTCAGCCTAACGAGCAAGAGCAATTGAGTTTGAGTGGAAGTGTGGTAGCCAAGATGTAGACTGTGTTGTCATGGTGACAGAACACCACAGACTCTCCTCACTAATCAATATCTCCCACCCAGCCTACACACTGTAGTCATAGACACACTGTCTACATGTAGTGTGAGTGTGATGTAGCCAAGATGTAGACTGTGTTGTCATGGTGACAGAACACCACACACTCTCCTCACTAATCAATATCTCCCACCCAGCCTACACACTGTAGTCATTGACACACTGTCTACATGTAGTGTGAGTGTGATGTAGCCAAGATGTAGACTGTGTTGTCATGGTGACAGAACACCACAGACTCTCCTCACTAATCAATATCTCCCACCCAGCCTACACACTGTAGTCATAGACACACTGTCTACATGTAGTGTGAGTGTGATGTAGCCAAGATGTAGACTGTGTTGTCATGGTGACAGAACACCACAGACTCTCCTCACTAATCAATATCTCCCACCCAGCCTACACACTGTAGTCATTGACACACTGTCTACATGTAGTGTGAGTGTGATGTAGCCAAGATGTAGACTGTGTTGTCATGGTGACAGAACACCACAGACTCTCCTCACTAATCAATATCTCCCACCCAGCCTACACACTGTAGTCATAGACACACTGTCTACATGTAGTGTGAGTGTGATGTAGCCAAGATGTAGACTGTGTTGTCATGGTGACAGAACACCACACACTCTCCTCACTAATCAATATCTCCCACCCAGCCTACACACTGTAGTCATTGACACACTGTCTACATGTAGTGTGAGTGTGATGTAGCCAAGATGTAGACTGTGTTGTCATGGTGACAGAACACCACAGACTCTCCTCACTAATCAATATCTCCCACCCAGCCTACACACTGTAGTCATAGACACACTGTCTACATGTAGTGTGATTGTGATGTAGACTGTGTTGTCATGGTGACAGAACACCACAGACTCTCCTCACTAATCAATATCTCCCACCCAGCCTACACACTGTAGTCATTGACACACTGTCTACATGTAGTGTGAGTGTGATGTAGCCAAGATGTAGACTGTGTTGTCATGGTGACAGAACACCACAGACTCTCCTCACTAATCAATATCTCCCACCCAGCCTACACACTGTAGTCATTGACACACTGTCTACATGTAGTGTGAGTGTGATGTAGCCAAGATGTAGACTGTGTTGTCATGGTGACAGAACACCACAGACTCTCCTCACTAATCAATATCTCCCACCCAGCCTACACACTGTAGTCATTGAAACACTGTCTACATGTAGTGTGAGTGTGATGTAGCCAAGATGTAGACTGTGTTGTCATGGTGACAGAACACCACAGACTCTCCTCACTAATCAATATCTCCCACCCAGCCTACACACTGTAGTCATTGACACACTGTCTACATGTAGTGTGAGTGTGATGTAGCCAAGATGTAGACTGTGTTGTCATGGTGACAGAACACCACAGACTCTCCTCACTAATCAATATCTCCCACCCAGCCTACACACTGTAGTCATTGACACACTGTCTACATGAAGTGTGAGTGTGATGTAGCCAAGATGTAGACTGTGTTGTCATGGTGACAGAACACCACAGACTCTCCTCACTAATCAATATCTCCCACCCAGCCTACACATTGTAGTCATTGACACACTGTCTACATGTAGTGTGA